CACATATACTTCAAATAAAGTTATCCTTTTTGAATTAGTGCAGTTTTAATGTATTTATTTATTTACTAGTCAATTTATATATTTCTGCTTTTATTTCTAATTATGTCTGTGTCTGTCCTCCGTACTGCAGAAGACTTTCATTCAAATCAGGTGTGTTTGAGCAGAGAAAAAAGTAAAACATGCAGGGCTGCGGCCCTCGAGGACCAGGATTGCCCACCCCTGGTCTAAACCTACTATTTAGTTCAATCTCTCTGATGGTATGGGGGTGCATTAGTGTTAGATCAGAAATTAGGTTCTTCGTAATCAGCAGGAGGAATATACTTTAACTTATCTTGTTGATGGATTTTAGTCAAATATCTAATATGGATCACTGCTACATTTTCTCCACTTGGTGGCTCTTTGAGAAAGGAAACATGAGCAGCTCTACCTTCTTTGTCCTCAGATCATGACGAGTACAGGCCACCGGTGTGGAAGTCCTACTGTAAGTCTTGTTAAAAACACCTTTATGTAATTTCTTATTTGATATATAATTGCCTTCGTTGAGAACAATAACATATGGGTTGGTTTATTTATATTTTTATAACACATGGTGCAATGCCTGCTTTGTTTTTCTGTCAGTTCTTTCATCTGAAGCTTGTTTTCTGCTGCAGTGTACCAGCTCCAGCAGGAGGCGCCTCACCCACGCAGAGTCACTTGCACCTGTGAGGTGAGAACTCACGCAGTCTTACCGTCTGCCGCCCAGTGTTTACTCATGTCTCGTGCGCTGGTGAGAGAGTCTGCTTTCATCATCCGTTACAACTGCTTATCCTTTGTTGCAACCCAGACAAAAACAAATCAAGACGAGGCGATTCAAAGCCTGGTTTATCAAGTCAAAACTTTGCTTTTACAAAATGTGATACAGTGCACAAAGTGTCAAAGCCAAAATGTGAACAAAGATGTTTTTGCCTGCGTGAGTATGACTGTGTTAGCAAAATATTTCATGAACCAGTGGAAAGATTTCTGTGAAACATTTATGAAGTAATTAGTGGGTGAATACTGTATATAAAACTGATGCTAAACTGAATTAAAGGTGACACAACGGTTATTTTTAAAAATATTGAACCGTAGGATCGCTAAAGAAAGTTTATTTTGTTTGTTTTGTTTGATACGATGCAGCAGACATCTGTTACACCAGTGTTTCCCAAAGTTGGGGCCAATCAAGGTGGGGTCCTGAAAAGATTTTCTGAATTAATTCCATTTTTGCCTTAGTTGTTACAAAGGTGTGAGCTTAGTGTATTTAAAA